TTTTGTTCTATCACTTCGGTGTTAAAGCCGCCATGTAAAAGTAGTGCGTTCCCTCATGCTTAGAGTGGTTTCACACTGGTCAGTAAAGACCGGTGTACACAATGTACTGTCTGCACATATGTGTCAGAAAAAATATCACAAAAAAGGAATTTAGTATTACTATGAGTATTTATTAAATAAATTGTATTTCAAATATATTTAAATAGTATTATTGAAAGTCATTTTGTATGACAGACACACAAATCTAATGCTCTGCATTATGAATGTAAGAAGAGACAAATAAAATAAGCATTTTTTTGCAAATTATTGCACTTCATATAATTTTTATTGCTTTTTTTTAAGGTGGACATGTGTCACTGTCAAGCGAATGAAGATAAGCATCACACTCGGTGGGAATCTCCAGTTTCCAGATGTGATCATAACTGTATAGGCACCATTAACACTTTGGACTAGTTGGAGTATTTTAGAGGGATAGTCTGAATTGAATCCTCTGTCATTAGTAAAGGCCAGTCATGAACATTGTGTTGAAGGAAAATGTTAAAACTCGGATTTCCCGCTTAACCAATCATTACTTTACCTTATATTCAGTGCTGTAATGTAGGAAATGGTTACTTTCTGGAACGGAGCTGTCAATTATTTTTAAATTTTTAGCTTGTTAGTGTTATCGTCGGACAGTTGTGAAGTAAAGACATCGCAGTTTGACTGTATACAAGTTGCGTTAAAGAAAGTATGTCGAAATCTTAACAGTTATTTGTTGATTTTGTAGAAATTGACCAGAATTCACCTTTGTTTACACGCATCGCTTGGACGTTGAAAACGACATGCAATGACATTTCAGTGAAATTTGGAAACTTGCTTGTATTTTGGAGCATTTTGTAGGATTTCGATGAAGTAAAAAGTGTTTATGATAGGATACATTATTCCTAGAGACAACCACAAAAATAAAATAGTGATCTGGTGTATTTTTTACCGAACAGTTCTTGTTTGTTTTGCATGATATTTTTCTCTCGTTAGGGACCTTTATTCTTTATATATAGTACGATGAGCGTATATGGGTAAATGTGGTATATAGTGCCTGTGGTTTTATCATGTATCTTAGCTTGCCTGGTGTAATGATAAGTAATAAACCTCAGAATTGAAACTATGAGAATAAATTGTTGTTATAAGTCCCCTTATATTTTCATTAAGAGGGGACTAAAGGCTGACCCATTTCTGTATGTCAATGAAAGCTGAATTTTGCTACAACTTAAATGGTACAAAGTAAGGTTCATCATACTGGTTTCTGATATAGAACTATACAGAGATTTAGCATGTTATTATAATTTATGCTCCTGAAATGGAGAGAAAATAGTTGCGGTCTTAACCATCTGTCGGTATGGACTCAAGTAATATTATGGATAAATATCTGTGTTCATTCCATACAGACTTGTACTTTTGGGGAAAAAGGTTGCTCATGGGAGGAAAATATGTTTTTAATGGTGTTTTTGAGATTTTAGTTGATAAAGGAAAAAAACATAGTCTGAACTTAGGAAGATATTTGTCCTTCACACTCTTGTTAAATCATGTTTTAATTATATCCCTTAAGTTAAAAATACTTATTCCAAACTATCACTGAATCTACATCAACTTGAACGACTCGAATTTTCCAATTTGTCAAAGAACCATAACTCCATTCCTTAGTTTTTAGCTCACCTGTCACAAAGTGACAGGTCGAGCTTTTGTGATCCCTTTTCGTCCGGCCGTAAACTTTTACTTTAAATGACATCTCCTCATAAACCACTAAGCTAATTTTATCCAAACTTCACAAGAATGTTCCTTTAGCTGTCACCTTTAAAAATTGTGCAAAGAATTTAATTCCATGCTGAACTCTGGTTGCCATGGGAACCGAAAGAAAAAAACTTTAAATATCATCTTAAAAAAAAACCTAAGAGCTAGAGCTTAGATATTTGGCTTGAAACATCTTTTAGTGAGTGTCTACCAAGTTTGTTTAAATAAAAGCCCTGGGGTCAAAATTGGCCCCGCCCCAGGGGTCATTGATTTTCCCTATGTGCATATAATAAACTTTATAAAATCTTCTTTTAAAGAACCCAAAGAGCTAGAGCTAAGATATTAAGCATGAAACATCATCTAATGAGTGTTTACCAAGTTTGTTCAAATAAAAGGCTCGGGGTCAAAATTGGTCCTGCCCCAGGGGGTCATTAATTTTCTTTAAATGCATATAGTAAAAACTTTAAAAAATCTTCTTTTAAGGAACTAAAAGAGCTAGAGCTAAGATATTTTAGCATGAAATATATTCTAGTGAGTGTTTACAAAGATTGTTAAAATAAAAGCCCTGGGGTCAAAATTGGTCCTGCCCCAGGGGGTCATTAATTTTCTTTAAATGCAAATAGTAAAAACTTAAAAAATCTTCTTTTAAAGAACCCAAAGAGCTAGAGCTAAGATATTTAGCATGAACATCTTCTAATGAGTGTCTACCATGTTTGTTCAAATAAAAGCCCTTGGGTCAAAATTGGCCCTGCCCAAGGGGATCATTGATTTTCCCTATATGCATATAGTTAGAACTTCAAAAATCTTTTTTAAAGAACCCAAATAGCTAGAGTTTATATTATAAATTGAAACATCTTCTAGTGAGTGTCTACAAAGTTTGTTCAAATAAAAGCCCTGGGGTCAAAACTGGCCCTGCTCCAGGGTTGTCATTGTTTTTAACAGTATGTGTTAGTAAAAACTTAAAAAATCTTCTTTAAAAAAACCCAATAAGCTAGAGCTTTGATGTTTAGCATGAATCATTCTTATGGATGTCTTCCAAGTTTGTTCAAATAAAAGCTCTTGGGTTAAAACTGGCCCTGAAGGATGGGGGGGTATATATAGGTAAGCAAATTCAGAGCCATCATGGCCCTCTTATTTAATTATCTACCTTTATTATACATGTACTTAATTATGCTTGTCCAGAGAAGTACTGGAAAAGAGTTGATGAAATTTGATTAAACTTTTACACAGCGAAAATAATCAAGTGAAAGAAAGTGTTATTTCAAATAACCCTAATTTTTGTGTCGCCTTGTAAAGGTGACATATAGGGGTTACTTTTGTCGGCGGCGTCTGTGTCGTTGTCGGCGTCCCGGAGCATAACTCAGTCACTATAAGTCTGATTGACTTCAAATTTGGTATGCATGCTTCTTTTAATAACCCGAAGTGCAGTGCACAAGGACCGGTACTCTGCAGTTCTTATTTTTTGAGTTATTGCCCTTTGTTAATTTTCATACTTTAATTTTGTCCGGGCCATTTCTCTTCAACTAAAAAAGCTATGGACTTGATACTTCATAGGATGATAGCTCTCATTAAGAAGAAGTGCAGTGCACAAGAACAGTTACTCTGCATTTGTTATTTTTTGAGTTATTGCCCTTTGTTTATTTTCATACTTTAATTTTGTCCGGGCCATTTCTCCTTAAGTATAAAAGCTATGGACTTGAAACTTCATGGGATGATAGATCTCATTAAGAAGAAGTGCAGTGCACAAGAACTGGTAATCTGTATTTCTTTTTTTTGAGTTATTGCCCTTTGTTGATTTTCTTTCTTTATTTTTGTCCTGGTCATTTCTCCTCAAGTATGAAAGCTATGGACTTGAACCATCATAGAATGATAGATCTTATTGATAAGAAGTGCAGTGTTCAGAAACTGCTGCTCTGCACTTATTATTTTTTTAGTTATTGCCCCTTGTTATTTTTCATATTTCATTTTTGTCCTGGCCATTTCTCCTAAACTACATTGTTCACAAGGCGACACATCCGACTTGCGGAGTTCTAGTTTTTAGCTTAATTTTACAATTATCATCTCTTAAAATACATGTACAACAACTTTTAAAATAATGGTTGTCTGGAGTAAATATTTTCAATGATATCACACTCAAACTAAATACAGTTGTAGAGACTTGTGAGCAGAAGTCTTGTGTCAAATAACCAAAATTCTACATTACTTAGTTTTTGAATTATCTCCGTATATATTTCATGATACTGTTCAGAGAGAGGATTAAAATATTGAAGGAATTTGATTGAAACTTTATAAACGTTATACAGTGAAAGAAATTAGCATGAGAATTGCAGTAAACAAAGGCCATTATAAGTTCTAATGACATGGTCACATTCATATAATGTGATGCAAAAAATATTGACCATTTGAGTGTTTACTTGATACTGATACAGAAAATTTGATATATATCACAATTGATTATTTTTTCATAGCTTTGTCTGTCTTTATAATGTCATGTGTTAAAATAGTCGAGCTTGCAGTTTCCTCTGGTAGCTCTAATTTCACTTGTTGCTGTTGTCAAAAAAGGCCAATAACGGTTTATGATGGACCTACACGTACATGTAACCTAAATATTATATATAACATGTGTGTCATAGAATAATTGTATCAATTACTGTTCATTTACTGAATTGTGCACTTTATATTTATCAACCGGCAACACCCTTCACTCATTGAATTATCTGCCCCGAAATTGAAAAAATAGTTATTTGATCCTTCATACGTCCCAACTGCAGTGCCTTCAGCACTTTGATTTATAAAGATTTTGCCCCAGGCCAAAACCACTGACATTGTCTATCAAGGTATAAGTTTCAGATTGATCACATTGGCTAAATTTTTCTCATATAATGATACAGTTTATTTCGTCAAAACAACATTGAAAACAACAGTGAAAAGTTCTGTTGAGTCTTTATCCTTTAAATGACTTAGAGAAAATACATTATTTAACAGTTGGTATTTACGTTACTTGCAAGATCATGAAACATTTTTGATAGTGTTTAATTCTAGCTTCAAGAGTTTAATTGATTGTTTGCGATAAACACGAACGTTTGCATAATTATATATTTAGATATATTGGTCCGTTTACTTAAAATGGGCTACTTTCGTCCATACATCCGTGTTACTGCTGAATACTTCCTCAATATTTTTCACATTCCTGTGTAATCGATGTATATTATGATATATTTTTCTAATTGCAGTATCTCCAAAGATTCTTAAAGATGATCTTCGATTTACTGGTTCAACGGGAGACGCAATAAATATTGAAATCCCAATTTACAGCAATCCTGTACATGACACTATAGAAATTACAAGATATGACGGTCAGTCTATTTCTAGCGATATGTATACTGTCATTGATGAGTCTGTTAAGACACAATTTTATGGTAAAGATGTCACACTACAAGGGAATGTGATTTATCTCACGTTGCATGATGCAAAGGAAGAAGATTTCGGAAATTATTCATTAAAAATCACAAGTGTTCTTGATACAACACAAGCTTTTGTTCACGTGATAGCAGAAGGTAAGTAGGTTTGATTTCATTTACAAACATCAATAATTACCATGAAGTCCTAAATATTTTCATATGTGGGGTTCCTTACATTCGCGGTAAACAAGTAAGCATTATTCACTGTAAGTGTTTTAAATGCTTGGCAAAAAGTGAATAATAAACAACAAACAATCCCACAAAAAACGTCTTATTGTTGTCACTTGATTTCCTTTTTTCTATTTTTTGATTACTTTAAAGGCAAGTTTGGGTATGGTCTTATCAACATAGAAAATGGAATTGCATATATGTATTCTTCAAATTTGTGTCATATATTATATAAAGGTGCATTTTTCTGAAACGAAGTACTTTTTTCTGTGTTGATACATTCTTTATTTTTCGAAAAAGGATAATCTCATTGATACGTTATTACTATAACTACACATACTTTAAGGTGTGTACAATTTTATGCGATTGTACGACAGCAGAGCTGTTAACAATGTCTTCTTAAGTAACTGTTATTTTCCGTCTGGATTTCATGCAGCTGCAATATACGATGTCATACTTTTTGCAAAAGTCTTGTGTCCCCCTTCTGTATTTTTGTAGATTAAGAAGTGAAATTATACATATTCGATTAAACCTTTTGGCGCCATTCAATGTTAATCCTCTCGAGAAATAAAAAGTAAAAATTCGCAATGATCAATCTATACTATTGTTTCTTACGATAACTCAGGCGTATTTGCATTGTAACTAAAGTGAAAATTATCTGAAAGACAATTTTTTTTATCTCGCTACTTATCTATTAACATTAACAAGAACAGTGTGCTTATCTATTCATTGCTTGATAGTAAAACAATAGCCTGGATAATGTAGACTTTTCGAAGTTCTAAAATGAAAATAATTATGTCAAAATCCACATAATTGAGTCTATGAAAGTGACCTGCTTTTATGCTCTGTCTATTGGTTGGCAAAATTTAGGAACCAGTAATTGTTGATTATTTAGCACTGACTGTTTTTTAATTTGTATGTTTGCTTTTCATAAAACTACTGCTTTTTATAACTTCTGATATTTAAAGGATTGCATTACACTTACTGCCATTCCCCCCAAAAATTATCTTCCATTGCGTTAAGAATGTAAATGTGTAAACGTACCAAATACGATTCAATAACGTTATCCATATAACATTGACGCAATACTAGTACATGTTAACGTTGAGCGACATAATCGATTAGTTAATATGACTCTTTATTGAAAACATTCATTTTAACATGTTGTCTGTTTATGGATAAAAGTGTTTTATGTCCGATTGAATTAGGAACACTAAAATACCGTGCGAATTCCATTTACTAACACGCTGTACTGCTTAAGGCTTAAAGGCCATGTGACTTTTGAACTTTCCATTAGATCTGTTTATAATTAATGTTATATTAATATACCTATTGTTACACTTAATCGTTGTATCAGTTAGATACAGTTAGTCGTTTTTTTTCAAAAGAGTCTTCTTCCAGACGTGAAAAAGACTGTCCGCTAGGAAAAGTACTTATTTAATGCCAACATCGCCTTAGACTATTTAAACAATATTCATATGTGTTAAATATCAGGGATATTCCATGCGGTCAAGGTGAGGTATAGTGATGGGGCTATGTCCGGCGCCCGTTGTCGTGCGTCGTTTGTAGTGCGTCGTGCGTCGTTCGTCGTCAACAATTGGGTTGTTAACAGTCTAGCAGTCACAGTTTTGATTGGATCATTGTCAAACTTTGTCAGAATGTTTGTCTCAATAAAATACAGATCAAATTCGAAGATGGGTTATCTCGAGTAAAAAACTAGGTCACAGGAGCTCAAAATAGAAAAAGCGTGTTAACACGCTAGTGACTGAAGTTTTGATCCAAATATTCTGGAAATTTGTCAGGAAGGTTTTTTTGATGATTTCTAGGTCAGGTTCGAATATGGGTCATCTCAGGTCAAAAACTAGGTTACATGAGCTAAAAATAGAAAAAGCTTGTTAACACTCTAGTGGCTGCAGTTTTGATCCAAATATTCTGGAAATTTGTCAGGAAAATTAATTTGATGATTTCTAGGTCAGGTTCGAATATGGGTCATCTCAGGTCAAAAACTAGGTAACAAGAGCTAAAAATAGAAAAAGTTTGTTAACACTCTAGTGTCTGCAGTTTTGATCCAAATATTCTGGAAATGTGTCAAGAAGGTTGTTTTGATAATTTCTAGGTCAGTTTCGAAGATGGGTTATCTCCGGTCAAAAACTAGGTACTTGAAGCTAAAAATAGAAAAAGCTTGTTAACACTCTAGTGGCTGCAGTTTTGATCCAGATACTCTGGAAATTTGTCAGGAAGGTCGTTTTGATGATTTCTAGGTCAAGTTCAAAGATTGGTCATCTCCGGTCAAAAACTAAGTCATAGAAGCTTTAAATAGAAAAAGCTTGTTAACACTCTAGTGGCTGCAGTTTTGATAAAGATATTCTGGAAATTTGTCAGGAAGGTTGTTTTGATGATTTCTACGTCAAGTTCGAAGATGGATTATCTCCGGTTAAAAACTAGGTCACTGGAGCTAAAAATAGAAAAAGTTTGTTAACATTCTAGTGGCTGCAGTTTTGATCCAAATATTCTGGAAATTTGACAGGAAGGTTGTTTTGATGATTTCTATGCCAAGTTCAAAGATGGGTTACCTCCGGTCAAAAACTAGGTCACAGGAGCTCAAAATAGAAAAAGCGTGTTAACACTCTAGTGGCTGCAGTTGATCCAACTATTCTGGAAATTTGTCAGGAATGTTGTTTTGATAATTTCTAGGTCATGTTCGAAGATGGGTTATCTCCGGTTAAAAACTAGGTAACTGGAGCTAAAAATACAAAAAGCTTGTTTACACTCTAGTGGCTGCAATTTTGATCCAGATATTCTGGAAGTTTGTCAGGAAAGTTGTTTTGATGATTTTTAGTTCAAGCTTAAATATGGGTCATCTCCGGTCAAAACTAGGTCACAGGGGATGAAAATAGAAAAAGATTGGTAACACTCTAGTCGCAGCAGTTTTGATACAAATATTCTTGAAATTAGTCAGGAAGGTTGTTTTGATGATTTCTAGGTCATGTTCAAAGATGGGTCATCTCAGATCAAAAACTAGGTCACAGAAGCAAGAAATAGATAAAGCGTGTTAACACTGTAGTGGCTGCAGTTTTGATCAAGATATTCTGGAAATTTGTCAGGAAGGTTGTTTTGATGATTTCTAGGTCAAGTTCGAAAATGGGTTATCTCCGGTCAAAAACTGGGTCACAGAAGCTAAAAATAGAAGAAGCTTGTTAACACTCTAGTGGCTGCAATTTTGATTTAAATATTCTGGAAATTTGTCAGGAAGGTTGTTTTGATGATTTCTACGTCAAGTTTGAAGATGGGTCATGTAGATGTTTTCCGTTAAAAATAGTCAAGAATGCGCAGATTTCAACACTTTTCTTTATTCTCATTCATGGAATAATATATCAATGTGATACAACAATGCGATTCTCTGAAATTAATAAAATAAACAAACTAAATACTGATTACAACGCATTTAAATAAAATAAAATAAATTGTCTAAAATAATAATGTTAATACAAATCATAAATATACGATATTACCTTTAAAATTATAGACTTAAATCTATGCAAATAATAATGTTATTTTATATTTCCGCAAATAATTTCGTTTACAATTTAATTCAAGACAAATATTGTAAAGTTCATCATCATTTAAAAAATATTGAAATTACTATTGAGATTCATACATAATAAATAACAAGCTTACCGATTATGATCTCCTTTCCATTGTTAAACATCAATACACAAAATACATCAACAATTTTAAGCACTTCCGCCCAAGGCAAAACAACAAATCAAAGTAACGGTTAATGACGTCAACGTAAAATAATTTAATGACGTCTTTTTACGGGAAACAAAATAAGATGTTACGTAGGCGGAAATAGTGAAGCTATGTTTAATTGAAAGAGTCAAACAATGTCTTAAATAGTAAAAACTATCGGAAAAATCAAACTTTGAAAATTATATGATTATAATAAGATAAATTTACAATTAAGAACTATAATTCTAACAGGTCATATCCGGTCAAAAACTAGGTCATAGGAGCTAAAAATAGAAAAAGTTTGTTAACATTCTAGTGGCTGCAGTTTTGATCCAAATATTCTGGAAATTTGACAGGAAGGTTGTTTTGATGATTTCTATGCCAAGTTCAAAGATGGGTTATCTCAGGTCAAAAACTAGGTCACAGGAGCTAAAAAAGGAAAAAGCGTTTAACACTCTAGTAGCTGCAGTTTTGATACAAATATTCTGGAAATTTGTCAGGAAGGTTGTTTTGATTATTTCTAAGTCAAGTTCAAGGATGGGTCATCTCCGGTCAAAAACTAGGTCACAGAACCTAAAAATAGAAAATCTTTTTAAAACTTAAGTGGCTGCAGTTTTGATCCAAATATCCTGGAAAATTGTCAGGAAGGTTGTTTTGATGATTTCTAGGTCAAGTTTGCATATGGATTGTCTCTAGTAAAAAATTAGGTCACATTGCCCAAATATGGAAAACCTTTTTAACACACTAGAGGTCACATTTTTGACTCAATTGTCATCAAACTTGGCCAGGATGCTTGTCTAAGACATTGCTTGGATGCCGTTGAAGGGTCAGGGCCATCATGGCCTTCTTGTTTTAAATATATTTCATAGGATATAGCTTTATACCATTTAAGTAAAATATATTGTTATTTCGTTTGTTTTTTTATTATTTTCTAAAACCGACATAATAATATCTTGATGTCGAACTTCATAGTGTCGGAGTCACATAAAAATTAATGTCATATACATCGGTGTTTTGAGAGAATTTTCTTTGATTCAAAAATATTATTGGTCTGATTTGTTTAGATATTTGTTTTAATTAATGTCGGAACTGGAGATATATATTTGAAATTTTCAGGTCCACCACTGCCACCTAAATTCTTACAGTTCCTGTCTGAAAATAACATACTGAAATTTGTGTGGCAAAAAGATTTCAATGGAGGACTTCAACAATATTTTATTATACAAACATCGATCGTTGGTACAGAAACATGGACAAATCTGTTAAATGTTAGCGAGATAGACAGTAAATATAGAATTAACAGTACTTTCTATACTGCTAATATAACGGGTCTTTCACAAGGAAAATACACTGCTCGAATATTTTCTGTCAATTCAAAAGGAGGATCTGAACACATTGTTTTAGCAACTACATTTGATGTTGTCTTAGAAACAGGTATCACATATTGTTGGTTGAATATTTACAATAAAATGTTTATTTCTTATAAAAGCCTTTAAAATGCATACGTGCTCTAAACGATTATAATAAAACCGAAATCAATCTTTATTCACTGTGTTACTTTGTAAACTAAAATGATAAATTTACATTCTAGAATTTGAGGGTGACAAACAAGATGATAGAACTGGAGTTATAGCAGCTGTGATTATTTCAGTCGTACTAATTGGTTCTGCTATTTGCATCGGGATTTTCATTTGGAAGAAAAGAAAAACCGCAAAAGGTATACATTATTTGTACAGTATATTACAGAGTCAGCAATTTCATGTTTGTGTGTTTTAAATGTTACGCGTTACGTATGAGTTTGGTATGTTAACAGTAAAAACCATAGAGCGCATTTCTGAATGTGAGTGTGTATATATATATATTTTTTTTAAATTGTTCACGATATACCTTATTATATAAATATTTATTGAGACATTTTTTAATTTAAAAATATGTTTGACATCTTTAATAAAACATGTCTTTTCTTCTCAACAGAACAAGCTATGCAAACTTTATATGAATCGTAAGTATTTTTATGTAAATGCGTAAAACACAGATCACATACAAATATATTTCGTAGATTTATTTAATTAGCCGGCTCTGAATTGATTTTGCATGTTTTTATTTGAATAGTACACCTCTTTTTTCGCAAATATTCAGAATATTGTTAAGATTGTTCTAATCGAAAATATAACGATATATACATACTATCACGTTTCTTTAAATATATTTAAAAGGTATTGTTTTAATTTCAACTCACTAGAATGTATATTTAGTACTTTATTTAATATCATCACTAGAATGTACATTTAGCACTTTATTTAATATCATGTTAAACTCTCTTGTGGTAATTCATTTATATTTCATAGAACAGCTCAGTTTGATTCAACATCGAATGTACAATATGAAGACCTGCATGGTAAGACTTGAAAGACTTGATAAAACACTAAGTGAACTACTGATCATTTTATATGTTATTGATAAAATAAGAAAATGGATCAGTTACCAATTGCTGAATTTATGAATTACAATATTTGACAACATTATATTCGCTAATTTTACAATAACCTTGCATTGTAAAGATAAATCAACTGTGTTTGAAAACATACATAATTTCTAAATATTGACATATTCTGTAAGTACTTAAAAGAAACACTACAGTACAATCAACACAATTATGGTTAAAGCATTCTTTACATTCTATTTGAAAATCGAGAATTAATTTTTTTGTCCATTTTTATACATACAGGTTTAACGGATGCAAACAAGTAAGCTATACATTTCCATTTATATTAAATTTCCGTTTAATTTGATCTGTTTTGAGATCACCACTAGTTCATACACATTAATAATATGTTATTAGATTTGTTAAGAAATGAGTTCATAAGGGTTTGTTATAATAGCCAAAAAATTGTTCCTTTGCCAATGTTGCATGGTTGCTAAAAGAAACAATAATAATGATAATTTAAATAAGGAAATCAAAAGAAATGTGTAATCGTATTGAAGAAACCTAGTTTTAATTGGTGAACATTCTTTTTTTAGTTTTGTTTAGTTTATGATTTTCGGTGTCAAAAGTTTGACAAATCTAATACGTTAAGAAACATTTTGTAGTTTTATTTATACCCCTGAAAGTGTGAAACGTGTGTAAAAGAGATGGCTTAACAGCTTGCCTGACATGTTTATATTTCATTATCGCAAATATTCAGAATAGTGATTAGATAGTTCGTATTGAAAATATAACAATGCCCCGAAGATAGAGGCCGAAATATTAGAGTTTTCACTCAACCCTCTTCATATTTAACCAAACGGACTGATACCGGTTTCAATCAATCAATAAGTTATTCAACAAAAGGGAAGAACGTAGTGAATCGACCCTTCAAATGAAAGATATACGATATGTTTGGCGTTTTTTGTTGTTGTTATATGGAGTCTTCAATACTTTCAAACAAGATCAGATGGTAAAGTTTTGTTTTCTTTAGCTGAACCATTTGTCGTCGGCGTTTGCAGTCGTCGTTTGCGCGGGTCAGATTTCGTTTACCTTTTCCTTAGGGTCCATTTTTTAAAAAAACTATACAACACTAATAGCTATTTACTTCAAACTTTGTACATGTATAAATGTGTATTATCAGAAATGACGACTTTGCGAATATACCTTAATTTTATTCCCGCAAATATTGTCCTTTTTCACCTTAGATTTTAGCCGTGGTGAGCCTTTGTGTTGGTACTTTTTCGAATAATTCACTTCAGCAATCAAACTTGATAAACATGAAGATCCTTAAATTCGTTTTTGCTAAGTAAATAATGTTTTACATATTATTATTGTTTTCTTTTTAAATCATTTTTTTGAAAACTGTCAAACTTGAAATGTTGTTTTTTCTGTTTTTTTTTTTTAAGTTGAAATATATTTCAAAGGCCAGGTTCCAGTTTGGTGTTTATTAGGCCCCCCTTTTGACTTTGATTTTCAGAGATAATATTTTAAGCTCACCTGAGGTAGCTCATTGTGAGCTTTTAGAATCGTTGAATGTCCGTCGTCTGTCCACATTTGTTCGTAAACACTCTAGCGGTCACTTATTTGTCATATCCATCACCGAACATGGCCAGAATGCTTGTCTAGGTAATTGCTCGTATGAATTCGAACATGGGTCATTTTGGATGAAAAACTAGTTTATTAGCTAAAGATTAAACAAAAATCCTGTTGACACTCTAGTGGCTACTGTTTTGATCCAAATATCCTGGAAATTGGTCTGCAAGTTTGTTTTGAAGATTTCTATATTAACTTCGAATATGGGTCACCTTTGGTAAAAATCTAGGTCACACCGCCCTTATATGAAAAAACCTTGTTAACACTATAACGGTCACAATTTTGACCCAATAATAATCAAACTTTGTCAGGATGCATGTCTAATTAATAGTTCATATGAGTTCGAACATGGGTCTTTGCGGATGAAACTAAGTCACTGGAGCTAAAAATAGAAAAAAATTGTTAACATTCTAGTGGCTACTATTTTGATTCAAATATCCTGAACATTGGTCTGAAAGTTTGTTTTGATGATTTCTAGATCAAGTTCAAATATGGGTCACATGGGGTCCAAAACTAGGTCACAACACCACCGTCAAAATATCCACAACCCTGTTAACATTCTATTTGTCACAATTTGACTCAATTGTCATCAAACATGGTCAGGATATTTGTCTAATTAATTGCTCGTATGAGTTCGAACATGTGACATCTCTGTTAAAAAACTAAATCACAGGAGCTTAAATAGAGAAATCGTATTAACTCTCTAGTTGCTACTGTTATTATCCAAATATCCTGGAAATTGGTCGGCCTGCAAGTTTGTTTTGATGATTTCTAGGTCTACTTAAAATATGCATCACATTGGGTCAAAAACTAGATCACACTGCCCCAATATGACACAACTTTGTTAAAACTCTAGTGGTCACATGTTTTACACAATTACAAGGAAGCTTGTTTAAGTAATTGCTCGGATGAGTTCGATTGGTCAGGTGAGCAATCTAAGGCCCTGTTGTTTACTTGATACAATACTTTAAAATGTGAGAATATTCACTTTTAACGATTAGAATTTGTTCACTATCGAATTTGAAATGAAATTAAAAAGAGGGGATAATCACAAAAGCCTATTTTCCTTTATTATTTCACATGTATTTTTCTTTTTCTAAAAAACCTTTTCAGTCTGATAAGTACGGTTGCGGAGTTTTGTTCTTTTTTTCTGTGTTGCTTTTATTTTAATATCCAACATTGATAAAAAGTAGAGCGCGCTGTTCAGCATGGAATTAAGTTGTGAGGATATTAAGCTAAATCTGGTGACATTGTTTACAGCTTGTTTTTGGAATCATCATGCAATATTTCCATAGTCTTATGCTCGATTTTTGAAAGAGTTGTAACATAGAATGTTTTGTTATACAATACAAACGTATACTATACTTAAACAGAATAAAACGTACCGTAACAAAGTGTTATGCCATTGTAAATAGGAATTTTAACCGTTTAGCAAAAAAAAAAAAAAATAGAAAGAATTAAAATAAAAAGTACCAATATTTCTATTTACATGTATTTATTTTCTAATTATTCTTTTTCGAAATTAAAACAAATATCTTGTACTCTGCTGTCAGCAAACATATATTTTTAGATACGTTAATAAAGTAGTTTTTTATGTTTCATTGCATACATTTCATAGATCAGAAACCTATGACAGTTTAGATATAACAAAAGACGATGCCCAATTTCAATCCACCTCAACCAGCAAAAATGTCATAGGTAAGAAATATTACGCTTAACAGCCAAACAGTATGATATTTTTAATCAAGATTCATTTAAACAAATTGAGTCAATGCACAAGTCACACAACAAGGGTACGTCACCTGAAAATGTGATTAAGTTGTGTGAAATATAAATACTTGATTACATATTGTCAACGCATTCACAAGGCGTTATGGGGATATTTTTGCAACCAACAACCATGTCCAGGTGACGTGCATGCATAACTTTTTATTAGTTGCATACCTTGATTATTTTACTTTAAGAAAAAAAATAAGTAATAACATTTTGGCAAAAATATCACGTGATTTGCACCTCAAGTTCAAAGTTTGTGCAATTCGCACACTAATGTTTTTGAAATGTTCGCATCGGTCATGAGGCATTCTGTATTATTCATATGTCATTAATAAAATTATAACGTTCAACTTTGGTACATAAATATCGATTCTACGGAAGCAAAACTCAGTTACCTAGGAAAAACATATATTTTCTGCAACATGAAAATTTAGAGAATGCAGGGATTAGTTTGTCTTAAACACGATAATGCAAGATCGTTACGATAAAAAAAAATGTTTGTTATTAAAACTTTTAAAAACTGTTGTTTAATTGCCTAGTGGTATATTTTTCTAAAGATAAAAAAATATCTCTACTTTTCAGCCCTTCAAACGTACGATACCAGTGACAATGTGAACATGTACGAAAACCTGAAAGTTGGAAGTTCAAAGATAAATAAGTAGAGTTATTGATGAACAAGTATTCTGTTGAAAATAATTTATTTCGTCTTTGAAAGTAAAACTTCATCTCAGCGGTTCATTAAGGACTGAAGTTTTCTATATACCGCAGCTATCATGTTGCAATTATATTAAACAATATGTGTATATTCATAAATACCTATATATCGGTGTACAAATATGCACAAGGTTGTCATCACTTGATTATGGAACGTCTGTTGCTCTCGGCAGTTTCCCGTTCGTGCCTGAACAAATGCACTGATGGTACTCACCCAGCCAACATTCTATATCGGCCCGACATCAAACCGACATGGTTTTCTATGACGGCCCGATGTCGGCTTTAACATCGGCTGCAAATAGGAATGATGTTGGCCCGACATCGGCAATACAATATCGGGCCGATATCTTAACGATATAGGCCCGATATGTCTTGCCGACATCGGGCCTACATCAAAACAATAGCGGTGCGATGTCAACCAACAGTAGAAAGATATCGGTCCTATATCGACCAGGTATCATCCTTATGCAAGCATGTTGATGACATCTAACAGCAAGCCTTTGGCAAAACCTGCAAAAACACAAAATGAAAGATAATTATTCTACAAAATAAGATAACAAAGACATATATTTTAACTTAAATGTGCAAATGACAATCACAACCATGATAATGCATGTCGCGAAATCATGTGACAAATATTTTCAAACATAATTTTACATCTAAAAAAGAGATAAACAGATAAATTGTATTTTTCCAATAACTTTAAGTGTAAAAATCAAATCGTTAACAGCGTTTACAGATTTGTTGAATCATCATTACATTAAAAAAACATGCTTTTCATCACCTTCCTTTGTTAGCTTTTCTTTTTGGCGCTTAATCTGTTAGTTGTAGGACTGCAGTGAATATTTTCCAGCTTTTCATTTTAAATTTAATAAAAGAGTGATGTTTTTGTAGTAAAAACATAAATATTGAATTTAATTACAAACCACATATCATTTTAAACTCAACTATGATTATTTTAGAAATTCATATCAAAATGTACAATTATTTGCTGCATGATTTTCAATTCAACAGAAAACGCAATATCTTACCGATGTCAATCCGATATACAAAAAAAGTTGCATTGATAGGTCATGTAGGCCCGACGCAGACCCGATATATCTTTTTTGATGTAACGTGGTTCTAGTAATTGAAATCATATACAAATGTACAGGACAATTTATTCACATCATTAAGTAAACAATGCCATTGCAATTAGAGTTTTTCAAAAAACTCAATATGTCGGCACTGCAGCGGCCCGACGTCGGCCAATAGTCGGCGTATTTTGCCGACATGCCGACATTAATCCTAAATCGGCCCGATGTGGTCATGCTGGCTGGGCAAGCAAAGATAGAATCGACATATAAGACCATTACTGTCTTAGTGCGACGTATGGTCCAACTAAAAACTCATTGTTGATGTTTGGTTAACAATTTTCCTGTTTACATGACTGTTAAAATCATTATATTCATATTATACGAAAATTATACGAACAATAGCATTTATCATTTACAATAAGAATTTATATTATACTTCATGTCTTAAACATATTAATCTCGTAAAAGTGAAATAAGTTATGTAATTATGTTTCTATTTTCATTACCCAAAGACCATAATTTACAATTATATCAAATAAAGATGATTATAACCAAAGCTTTTATGTCAAATATCCTTGTATAGTTGTCACTGTTCCGGCGTAAGAATTGCAGCAACCGTTTATCCCTGCGTTATAGTACGAGGCGATTTAACGGTTTCGAATAACTGGGCTTTTGTATCTTTTAGCGTCAGTAAGTGAGGTGCTTTTGAAGATGTAAAATCTGAGGTTAGTCAAAATAATCTTTCCTGTTTCAGAGCAATATGACATGTATAAATATGCTGTAAAACCATTGACATATGTCAAATAACAACAATGATATTGGTTCCTAAATGATAAAAATAATAACGAAACGTGCAAATAATATTAAATAAAAAAGAAAAAAAAAAACATAATGAACAAATGTTGCAGCAATTGAGACCCCTCCGCGCTCATTACAGATACATTACCAAATCATTCCTACGCAGCAGGTCATTTTCTAATTTGATTAAGTACTTTTGTCCATTATTCCAGATGTTTTGTAAATCATTTAAATAAGCATAAGTATACAAAATAATACTAATGAGAGATGGGTCAGATATGTAATAAAAATATGCTTTCACTAATGCCTACCTATTAAGGAATGTAATTCCAAAACAAACAAAGCTTACAAAATGACAGTAGTGCAATATTGTTCTGTTTGTGTCACTACTGTAACAGAGATGTAGATAACATGTTTTCAATGTCTCTGGCTATAGTCAGTAATAAAAGATGATATTAAAATATCAAAGTATGTACATTTTCTTTTTCATTTATAATTTTAATAATTTTCTACAAATATCAACAACTAATCATGGTAAGAAATAAAAACAACACATTTGTAAATAAGCCAAAACAAAAACTTGTGTCGACTTTATATTTTGAAATGTCTGTTACATGTTTCACGGCAAATCGAATACACCCATATGACGAAGGGAGACAACGCAATAGTTTGTCTTACATTAGTTCACATCTAGCTGTATTTGATCTGTAATATAATTTTCTGATCAATATCATTAATTTTGCAGTTTATATTGCCCGACTAAATATTTTGTAAAACAGTTTCAGGCACAAAAATAAAACTTTTTTCCTCAGCAATAAAATACACACATAACCCACGGCGTACTAAAAATAATTAGTATTTATTGAAGTAGATCCAAATGTAAGAAATATATTGCGGAATTTAAGTTAAGTTTATTTTGCTTTGTCTTTTTACTGCCTTTCCAGCGGTTGAGGCGTGCAATTTGTTCCTGTTCTCACTCACCGAAGAGAAAACCAATATATGACTTTACATAATAGACATCGGAATGAACTTATGGTTCCGAATATATTTTTAGCTGTTAATTGAAAGGACTAATTGGTCAAAATCAGGTCTATTGGCACAAAACTAATAAACAAAATTAGCTCTGCGCCCACATAAAGTGGCGCAATTTGCTAAATGTATATGCTCTGCACGTTGAAGGTTGGAGGAAAAGATTTTTATGACATGTATGCCATATTAATCTATGTACATGTAAATTCTGCGAAACCTACCCCCACCCCCACCAACTCACTGAGCAGAACCATATATAAAGATTGTGTGAAATATTTTTTTCTATGATCCAGACATTGTTTCTTTCATAAGTGGCACCTTAGACATGGTCTCTATTGACCCCAGGAGCATGATCTATATAAATGTTCTAGATGTTAACAAGGCAATGTTTCATGCCAAATTCATATTATACATTAAATATAACTTGAGATTTAAAGATTTGTAGGTAGTTATATCTCATTGGGTAGATGTTCAGTGCGATAGAAATGTAACTCTGCCTTACCTAATTTTGGAGTAATTGCCTTTTTTATTTTTACACTTTGAATTTTGTCCGAATCAGAACTCTTAAGCCATATTAGGTATACACAAAAAAACCTTTTTAGGTAGATAGATCTCATTGAGCAAAAGTGCAATACAAAAGAACCGTAACTCTGCCTTGCCTTATTTTGGAATTATAGCCTTTTGTTCATTTATTTACTATGACCTAAAAGGTATCAATTAAAAACTTTGTAGGTAGATAAATCTCGTTTAGAAGATGTTAAGTGAAAATGAACAGACACTCTGCCTTGCGTAATTTTGAAGTTATTTCCCTTTGTTTATTTTTACACTTTGAACATTTTCTATGACATAACTCTAAACCCATTCGGGGTATTAACAAGACACTTTGTATATAGACATATATCATTGAAAAGAAGTGAAGTTCAAAAGAACCATAATTCTGCTTTGCCTTGTTTTAGAGTTTTGACGCTTTTTTTATTGCTAGAATTTCAATTTTGTCCAGGCCATAACTTGAGAACTATAAAAAGTATCAATATGAAATAATGTAGGTCGAAAGATCTCACTGAGTAAAAGTGCAGAAATCTTAGGGAGAAAGCACTTATTGCCCCTACAAGAAGCCTTGCAAAACTTCAATCCAAACTTTAATTTATCTTATTAGTGTAGGACAAATAGGTAAAAAATATTTTAAAAAATCTATAATCCAATGCATTCTTTTTCTGTGCAAAATTATTAACTAAGCAGCGAGTGTCCGGACATTCGGCACGACACTTGTGACAATCTCAGTTTATACTCGCCATTGGTTGCCAATATTGGCGAGTCCTCCAGAAAAGTATTATACTTTTTAGATTTTGGAGGATAATGCAAGGTACAGACACAAAAGGATGCCATAAATTCAAGATTCTCCTGGTTATTTTGCGTGACAAGTGTTTAAGAACTCTTAGACATGGGAACCTTAATAAAAAGAAACACATGATAAACAAGGAAGAGCGGTGTTGAATAAACTAAAGCCTATCCGAAAGACTGATTAGTCATTTTTGTTATAGTCTAACCGGATTCTAAAAAAAATGATATTTTATATCTATCATTCACAATTTGTTTTTATTTGTTATTTCTTATATTTAAAAAAAACACCAGCTTTAGGTAATTAGATTGTCTTATTTCAAAATAATCAAATTATATGAACTAATGATCTCTTCATAAAATTGCAATTTTTACAGAAACAAATCATAAATTATAACGTTTGATAAAAACATATTAATAAAAAGTAACATATTTCGGGAAATAAAGTGACGTAAAATAATTCATTAATATCGAGAAACACATGTTATTATATTCATACATTGTAATCTACCTTAAAGTTTGTAAAATTATATACATTTATATCAGGATTTTTAATGAGTTAGTGTGCCTAAGAATATCCAAATCTTCACATTATTTTCAAACTTTATCGCTCTGCCAAATACATTTATTTTTCTATTATCGGTTTAAAAGATACAGAGCAGACACAAAATTTAAAAGTTGATATGTTAAAACTAAGTGTGACTGGAAAAGTGACATTTGTGCTCTGCACATTCTCTCATTAGAGATGGTTAGCATCTCTAGCATCTCTAGTTTCAGGTCCCTCTCACCGGTTCAACTGATACAGGCCGGAAACGAAATCTCCTGTGTATGTCTATATTAATCCAGTTATCGCCGAGGCGGGGCCAATTGTGATCTCAGGAAGCAAAGACATGTGTTCTGCATACGCACTGTCTGCATACTCACTGTCTCATGATAAGTAATACTTCTGCCAAAAAGTTATAATTTCATTCTTTTGGCTCAAAAGATACAGAGGACACGAAATTTTGAAATTAATACAAAGTAACTAGGGTTTACCTTGACCTGAGAGAGGTCCAATTTGCACATTGTCACATTATGGTTTAGAGGCTTTAACTATGTAGTTTGATTTTCCTTCCACCGGCTCAAATACAGACCAGACACGAAACCTTGTAACAGATGTACGGACCACCAGGTTCATTACATACGCCAAATTTGTTTCGAATATTATGCATTACAAATTTATGGGAAAATGTCTTAGTTGTTCTTGAATTGACAATGCGGATAAAGAGGTGTATTCCTGTACAGAAAAAATGCATTATTGACTAGAATTACGCGAACCCTCAATTAACCCAAATACACCTTTAGATTCTTAGATGGTATTGTGTTATCAGTTCCTGCCCTTCTTTGGTTCCCTGAACAACTCCACAGCCACAATGTAGCGTGACAACATAGCAAACCATTTCTATACAAGTTTGTCTCTTAGGCATATTACTTTTTCAATGGTTTCTAGTACCTATTTTTCAAATATAAACAACAGCAACAGCAATTGTTTTCATCTGTCAAAACTGAAATATATCTCGAGTTATCTTTTAATGTAAGAATAGTGCTGTATTTTTATTGGAAAAAAAATAGTTGAATAAATAAGTCAAATCTTTACTCTGTAATAATGATAATATACTTTTGTTCTTGAAATAAAAATGTCTTGGTACTGCAGTAGTAGTCGAGAAATCACAGCGCAAATAGGTCTCCTTCCGTTTTTTATATTTCGTTTAGCGTGGCGTGTATCACTTAGTTTTAGATCTTTAGGAAACTTGACACATGGTGAAACATAAGTCCAAAAATAAATTACACTACATGCACTGTACGACAAAAAATATTGATGATTATGTTAGGGAGGGAAACGGAAAAAGGGATCGAGTGAAAGTACACATTGCATATTTAGTCCCGCCTATAATTAAGCACGAATTTCTGATCGAGCGTTATCATCCTTATAAGAAACGGACTTTGATACGTTTCAAACTGTAGCATTCTTTTCTAACATGTAAACCAGTTTGAGAATACCTGACAAAAGGTATTGTCACCCAGGCTTTGTATTGTATAAAGACTACAAAAGCATTCGAACTTCCTGATCGATATGAATACACGTAATAAAACCATTCAAAATATACTACGCATTTCAAATAAAATAAACGAACAATATACAAATTGTAAATTGTTTTCATCACCACATATAGTGAATGTACTGTTTTTGAACAATGTATTAAGGAAAATAGTAAGGTAGTCTTACAAGATTTTCCTTTACATCGTTATTTAAAGTGTACGCTTTTGTTTTATTGATATATTACCGATACTTTCAGAGATTTGTT